GCGACGGGCACATGCACGCAGACGCTCACCGGGCATAGCGGATGGTATGATGTCACGTCCTTGAAGTTGTTTGCCTCCTGGTCAGGTGACGCGAAGCTCCCGTATCAATATGGTATAAGCTCGGACGGCAGATGGATTACAAGGGACTCGGAAAATTCGCTGTGGCTTCCTCCAGGATGTCGGTCGACATCCTGGGCCATAGCGGGATCTACGATTGCCACTGGCTGTGACTCGGGACGTGTTCTAATTATGACGTTCCGGACAGACAGCTAGTGCCGATCTCTCTCCTCACAGTTTCTCTCTCCTCCCAGTTTCTCTCTGCTCCCAGTTTCTCTCTCCTCCCAGTTTCTCTCTCTTTTTTTTTCTATCATAGCGTGCTACAGGAGGGGTCTGGGGGGCTCCTTTAACTTATGATTGTTGTAGTGAAACGGGGATTCTTGAAACCCCTAACTTGGGATTCCCTGCTCAAAGTAGCCACTGCATTCTGTTTTTCTTTACGGTTGCGTTGCGTTGCCCTGGGTAGGCATATAAGTAGTGGTTGCTTCCCCCCGTCTCGCGTGGACAGGTTTAGTCAACCATTCCCTGCTCATTGAAATAAGATTGAACTGCACTGAATTGCACTGAACCGCATTGAGCTGAACTGAATTGAATACTCATCTCCTCTGAGCAGAGCTCAGAAAACCTTACTTTCCATTCGTTTCACCCGTAAGGATAAATAGCGTAAGGGTAATCTTGTCAATATCCTTTGGTTGTTGTTGTGGCCTATGGCCCTATGACAGGCACGTCTGACACGTCTGACACGTTCGTCCTACACCTACGACTGTGTTCCTCCCATGTTTTGTTTGTTTGGTTTGAGGTGTCTTCGCACCTTTTCAGTAGCATTCTAGCACCTTTTAGCCCTCAATTTCTAATCATTTCGAGCGCTCTATTCGTCTTGAATGTGAGTAACTGGTGTCATCCATCACACCTGACGAATACAGGCCTACGACCTTCCAAGGCGTGAATCCCCAATAGAAGTGGGGCATGGCACGGGCAAGCACGAAGGACACTGCCGAATTCGCAAGATACGTCAGACATTGAAGGACAATCACCGCCTTCCTGATTAGTCTACTCTTCCAACCCACCGCCTAGCACACCGCCTACCTAGATTAGCCATCCTGAGTATTCTTGCTCACCGCCTTCGCACCGCCTTCCTTGTTGGTTTTTGACTGTAACTGTC